ACAATATTGTCATTGCACCCGGCTAGCCCTAAAATAATGTAAGTAAGTGATGCAGGTTGTGCGCATGATGCTAATGATGTTATGTGAGATAAATACTATTCTTTTAGAATGATTTGAAACTCAATAGTTGTGTCCGTTTCCATCCGATTCTGTTGAATTTAGCCTTATATCTTCTCAAATTTGCTTGGAACTATGCATTCTCACAAAATTTTCTGAAAACTCCTAAATTTCAAGAAATGGCCTCAAAACACTTGAAACATCAAGAAAAGCCAGGAACTGAAGGAATATGATCAGGAAACTATCCAAAAATATGGATTTTCATAACTTTTTCTGAAAAATCCTAAATTTTAAGAAGTGGCCTCAAAACTCTTCAAACCTCAAGGAAAGACAGGAACTGAAGGAATTAGACCAGGAAAATAACTAAGAATTAAAAATTAACTAGCTACTTTTGGTTCACTTTTTCTCCTCTCCCCCTGTCTCTGTGTCTCTTCCCTTAACGGGAGTCTGACCGGTCACCCCTTGGGCCCTTGGAGTCTTCGAGCCTCCCGTCTCTTTGAGTCCCTGTCGGAACTGTCTCTCGGCACCCTCGGCCCCATCTCTCGGCACCCGGACCGCCGTGCGTCCGGAGAGTCGATCTCAGGACTCCAAGTAACGGGGGGAGAGGCTCAGTCTCCCGTTAAGGGAAGAGACACAGAGACAGGGGGAGAGGAGAAAAAGTGAACCAAAAGTAGCTAGTTAATTTTTAATTCTTAGTTATTTTCCTGGTCTAATTCCTTCAGTTCCTGTCTTTCCTTGAGGTTTGAAGAGTTTTGAGGCCACTTCTTGAAATTTAGGAGTTTTCAGAAAATTTTGTGAGAATGCATATTGGAAATGTTTTTCACATAAGGTCGACAAATTTTATGTTTTTTGAGGTAATTTTGATGAGATCGGGCCAAAACGGATACATTTTAGCACAATCAGAAAGCAAATGAAGGTTTTCCCCAGTAAGCATATTGAATGAGTCTGCTTACTGCGCATGTTATGAGGCGATGCTGATTTTGCAACATCACCAGCAGCAGTAGTTGAAGATAAGTATGTTCAGAGACCATTTGAGCCCCCCCGGTAAGCAGCATGCAAATCTGCTTACCAGGCACCCTTGCTTTTGTTTGCACTGTAGGACGATGGAGATTCAGATGGAGATGGGCTTGATGTTACATGGGAACTTGGTGATGGAAACCCGATCTTTATCGTGGACGCGAAGGCCACAGATTCCTTGGCTGCCACAGCCTCTGCTGATCCTGCATTGCCCGCAGCAATTCCTGGTGAGAAGTTCAGTAGTGAGCCAGCCTTTGTGTTTTTGTCTGACTGTAATCTCACAGTCTTGCCAAATGTTGTGGGCTGCGGGGTGGGAATACATAATACCACCAGCACGTGGCAAATTCGGTATCCCGGACTTCTTCAGAAATCGAGGGCCAAAACCTTTGGATGGATGAAGAAGGGTTGGGTTTCCTCAAGCGAGGCCTTGTTGACTTGTTTGCTTTGGGCATGGGAGGAGCACCAGAAAGTCAATCCTTCCTGTGCTACTTGCGACAAGCATGTCAAGCTTCTAAAGGGAGCATTGTTGGCCAAACTAGGCTTCCACATCAAGTGAAGAGTATTCCCCCTTCGGTGATTTTGTAACTTTCAGCCAACACTGGTTTTCAGCATTTGCTTCAACTTTTATGGAACATAAAGGGGTGATCCAGATTGTGAGCCCTCACCCGTGATGGGTTTTCGAGAGAGATATGGGGTTGTACAGTCTTTCGTTTTCCCTCTTTCACGAGGTAGGTTTCACTGAATTCATCCGCGCTACGTATGATGGCCAACAAGCTAGGCCCATTTTTCAGCAGATGAACTGCGCTTTGCCTTTTGTCAATTCTCTCATGTGTACAAATTCCACTCAACATGTGTATGTTTGTTCACCAATATTGTGATTAGGCCATGCTGGTCTAAGACGGTGTTGCTTTTAATAACTGAGAATAGTTGCTGTCAGCTGTTCATTTGCACCATCCCTCCCAGGAATTTAGGTGCACGAGCATTTGAAGACCGAGTGACAAACAGAAACAAAGAAGGGAAAAATGTGATGAACTGCTGAGCTCTAGAAATTGTGCAGTACACATCAGGGGTAGTTAGCAGAATTATAAGATATGCGATGTTCAACAAAAGCAGGTGCAGTAAGCAGTACCCACATGAGATTTTGCTTGCCGTATGGCTGTCTGGCAACCCATCTGCTAAACTTTTGCTGGGGGACCTTTTCTGCCTACTACTGGTCTTTGACTATAGATACCACTATTGTACTTTCATTGGTCCGGAAACCCGGACTTCCAAAATAATTAACTTAGTAAAGTTAAACTTATTGCATGTTTGGCCAACAATTACTAGCATATAGTTTTACATTAATTAAGCAAATAGAAACACATATAAGCAAATATGAACATGACTAGAACTGATTTGTCCGGCAAACAAGGATTTCTACATTGACAATGTTAATGAAAGCAATACAACAAATTCACGTAACTAATAACTATATAATTGGCCCGGACATCCAAGAATTTCAAAAAAAAATCACCAAAAACTGTTTTTTTAGTATTTCCAAAAATGCATAGCTAATATAATCTAAATGATCCGGAAAACCCGGAAATCAACACACATTTAAAATACTTGGTTGCAAAAAAACATGACTTTCTCGTGAACAACTTGTCCCTAACAATTGCAATAGTAAACCGAACTGTCTCCTGTGTAGTAATAACCTCTTTCCAAATTTTATTAATAGTGTTTGAATTACTTTTAGTTTCGTTCAACTTCAAACAAAAATCAAAAGCTGTCATAGTCTTAAGATCTGAGGATTCCTATTGCGAGTAGATTGTTTTCACGCGCCAACTTTGAAACCTCCAAAAATAACTAGGCGTGTTTTTTTTTTGAAAAGTTATTTTTTTACGGTGAAACCTATATTATATATATAATATGCCTGTGTATTTATATATAATCTGCGTGTAGGTTGAGCATCTGCCAACAACACCAACACCGGCACCAAAACCTCCAAGCATCACCGATGGTGGGCTACAACTACCTTAGCCTACACAAACCTAAGAACATATAAAATGTGTAGGGTCTTGAACACCTGAGGTGTTTTAATCTTCTGTCAAGGTAGGGGAAGAACATCAATGGTAGTCAAACTACACATATTATATCCGCTCAATCCCGTTCACTCAATCTACACCAAGCAGCCCAAAGAATTACGCCGAAGGGTGGACGGAACCCACAAGGCGCCTGCAAACAGTCGGTTTGCCTTTCAAAGTAATGCATGTCAAGCGCATCAATTTCATATCGGATGCCAAATGCCAGCTTCTGCCCAGTCGCAGACATCATATAACAAACAGGAGACGGCGAGTGAACTGTGTCTTCTCTGAGGGGCTAACTTTATGGAACCTGAGGCAAATTTGCTAGGCCTCAGTGCTGGGCGCATCCAAACTCACACCCTTTTGTGATCGTTGAAGGTGTTAAAACAGCAACTCCCTGGTTCTTGGATCTGCTGAAGGATCTTAAGGAACCGAAAAAAGAACATCATCCCTAGCAGAGCTGCTGTGCTGGCCGGCATGGTCGAGTCCACACCAGACGTCCATGCCTGTGGTTCACACCTAAAAGAACCAGAATAGACGTTCACAACACCAAAAGGGATAGAAACCAATGATAACATGGGTGAAGAGTCCTCTGAGTTTGATGTTCTAAGTGTTGCAGTTCAGGCTTGGAGTATGTTTCTATCAACCAGTTCCACGCATTCGCCGTTCACATCATCATGTCCTGACTCACTGAGACTGTGGGATTTTCACGTGACCAGTTTTTTTCTGCCGAGATCGGGAAGAGCAAAGATGCAATTGGTCTCAAAGAGACTCCCAGTTTCTTTTTCTTGGTGGACCACATGAAGGACCTGGACAGTGTTTGATGTTCGGTGTGCTTGAGGATGAGCAAAGGATCGCCTCTGGGAAGGGGGCCTTCTTGGAGTTCACTTCAGAGACCGTTTGGGGCCCCCAGGTCTCCCTGTTCCGATCGCCACCGCCGTGAGGAGCCCGCTTGAGCCTGCGATTCTCAAGTCCTGACTGGGTGTCTATAGTATGTGTTTTTTGATTGGCCGGTTTGAAGGCGGGACACCCAAAGATATGATGGAACATCCACACAAACACATTAGACATACCGTGTTTTTTCAAACAAAGCATTGGTCAAAAGTACTGTCCAGCAAGCCTACAATATGATCTGATCCTGGTGGCACTCTTCGGGAATGCAGGACTGTTCGGAGGGTCTGCGCCTTGTCTTCCTCAAATCCGTTTCAAACCTCTTTCACTCTCGCTCTTTCTCTCTCTCTCTCTCTTTGTCTCTATTGAGAGGAGATATAGGACAACCAACATTTTAAAGAATCCATCAGTAAAGCTGGAGCTGTACTATTTTTTGTCAATCGCGGACCTGCTGGTTATTTTGTTGTTCTCGAGGATAAACATGTAAACAGTTGTTTGCTGTTGGCCTAATAATCGAGGCTCCTTTCACTTTATGACCCCTTCCTCAGGATGTGTGTTGGTCCGCCTCATGCTTATGTGTTTCCGGAGGTTCCCCAAGCAAGGGAATTCTGGACTGTTCAGCTCGGGTGTTCCCCGTTTTCTTGGTTTTACTGGCTGAATCACCTCGAATAATGTCAAAGTAGCAGGCCCAAAAAAGGCTAGGGATATATAGATTTAAAAAGCATGTACGTATCTTAAACTCACGTGTCTTCATGGTGAAGCCTTTTGGATCTGCCAAAACAAAAAGCCCCCTCCCTTCCAGAAAACCACATCTGATCTGACCCCTTCAGTTTTCCTAGAAAACAAAGGCTAGTTTTACCTAATGTTAACCTTTTTCCATCTGTCGGATTGTACTGTGTAAGCCCAACACCTCCAAAAAGCTCAAGCGATCCACGTCTAATAACGACGGTCCAAAATCTCTCCACACTTCTCTCTGCACATCTTCACACCCTTTCCGATCTCCGATCGGTTCACCCCAGCCGCCGACAAAAATGCGTCTCGGCTTGGCTGGGTCTGCGTGGCACGGGTTTGCCGCCGCGGCTTGGCCGACGGAACGGAGGCCGTGCCCCGAGATCGCGCCGTTTTCGCGCGGGCCGAGCGGATCGTCTGCTACCTGGCCGTGGATGGGAGATGCAAGCGGGTCGCAACGGCTTCTTTTTCCGTTGTCCTTTACGGGTATCTTGAGGGGTACGGATCTCAACGCCCCAAGAAGTCGGAAAGGGCTCCGCACCGGCAAATAGCTGCATTTCTTAAAAGGATGATATGTCAAAGTCATACTCTTCGAACTTGAGTGGTGACTGCATTTTGAATAGAACCACTGGATGGTTAATCCTTTCCAGTCCTGTTGGAATCCTTTTCGACCGTAGCGGTCCAGCGACACCTACTCGATGTCGATTTATCTGCGCCCACGGGCCCACGGGACGTGTTTTTCTTCGAAAGAATGCATCGACTCGATGTCGAGGTGTGCACGAATATGCCACGAAATCAGAACACATCAACTCCAGGCGTGTAGAGGGCTGTTTTCGCACACGTGGATCTTGGTGGTTTGGGGGATGGAGGTTTGGAGGTTTGGAAGGTCGCCAAAGGGGGGGTTGTTCATCCCTAAATTCCAAGGAAGTATCGCTGCTGGACTGGGGCGTGGCACAGACAAACCAAAAAACACACCACTTCAGGCGTGGAGCTTGGCTCCAACACACCCAACTGACAATGCATGTGTGATCGTTTGTGCCAACCCCTCAGGTTCAGAACATCCACACTCCACACCCAAACACTCCATGGGACTGGAATATATGCCTACATTGACCCCTCAAACCACCCCATCTGATCGGCATATATGGCAGTCCCGTGGAGTGTCTGGGACATGAAATCTGACTGGAGAATGGTTCAGAATGGTTCAGAACATCGAAACATCGAAAGAACACGCGCTGAAGAACTTCCACGAAGCGAGGCCGCCTCAGCTTCCTTGCTCCCTGGGCACGGGGAGGTTCATCGACCGGGGAGGTCGTCAGGGTGCATTGGGAGATCCACCGATCACTGCCATATTTACATACATTAGGGTGCTTTCAGGGGTCAATGGAGGCAAATAAAAATAACCATCATGGAGTGTCTGGAGTATATTACAAGAAGATACTCACCCCCCCAAAAAGAAGTGAACAATATGCTAGCATGGTTTTTTCACTGCTACTGTGTGGAGGCACCTGCCGAAATGTGCCGAAGCATCAGTCACAATGATTCATTGTTTTTTTTGGAGAAACCACTTGAAGACGGTTTGGCTCAACACTATTACAGTGCAGCCATATAGCAGCGGGATATGGATCATAACCGGGAGACCTTGGTTGACCACTTGACCACTCCAAATGAACAGAAAAGACTACTTGGGACGTCAACCTACCCTCGTGACCGGGGCTCCAGGTGTTCACCCACAGCCATATGAGCATTCGAATCAACAGCCATCTCTTTGGGAGGGAAGTTCAGGCACTTGCGATCCCTCGTCTTCTGGCCATTGATGAGGGGCCACTGTGTCAGTTTCCCAGAATCACTCTTCGATCTGTTTAACGAAATGTAGCAGTGTAGCAGTCAATGGGCTGTATCTATTTGCACAGTCACGTGACGTCGTGTGTGTGACAAAAGATTCTCCTTGTCTCAAGGGACGAGGGCAATAGGTAAGACATGTCCGACATGAATTTCAACGGAAGGTAGACGACTTCCCAAAGGGGAAACCAAACAGCAACTCCAGGTCTGTGAAATGGTGGTACGCTCAGCAGTTCTATGTCGGAATAGTGTTCAAGTCCCATGAAGTGAGCGCCATGTTTTGGAGACTCTAGGCCCGCTCCAAGTTTAACCGCCCCAAATGGAACTTGCAACTGGTACATCTTCTCCCTCCTTCTCGTTTTCAAGATTCGCGCCAAGTTTCTGTGCACTGAGCAAGGTGCGAAAAACAGCCTCGGCGCGGTGTCCAGCGGTGGATCGCCAACTCTTGGCATTCCACGACTTGATGGCATTGTAAAAATATGTGGGCCAGGTACATAGATGTTCACGGCATCTTTAGAGCTGCGTAGGAAAAACACACCGACGCGACATCTGTACCCAAACACTCCATGGGACTCGCCGATCAAGCCAGGGGTGGCGCCTTTGCGGGGTCTGGGGCGGCAGTCCTATTCCAGTCCCAAACTGGTCGTGTCTGGGGTAGATAGATCTTCCTCGACCAAACCCCGACCTGAGCCTCCAGGCTAAACCCCGTTGTCGATGCTTCGGCACGGCCGGCGCAGGGGAGGTGGGCGCCACCGGCACCAGGGCAGGAGGCTGTGTGCCTGGAGAATCGAGGTGATTGGACGTTCCAAAGCCACATGGTTTGGGTATGTCATGGTATGTCCCATGACTTACCATGCTTCTGTGGAGAGACGGTGAGGTTCTGGTCTGCAGGCGTGACATCCCTCTCGGCCCGGCCGACCGGCTCCTTCGGCGGACTCGGAGGGTCGGTGAAACGGGTGCCTTCCTGAGACTGGTCGCACTGGGGGCCTTTCTTAAAGAGATGAACAAATGCCAGGTGACTGGAGGGCACATCCCTAGCTATAGTAGGGATCTCAGGATCCGTCAAAGAGCGAGTGTCAATTTTGGATCGTCCGGTCGAAGAGGAACGTACTGCCCCACGAGCGGAGTGACTGAAGCCTTTCAGAATCGATTCGGCTCCAATATCCTGAGACCAGAAGTACCATCGAAGCAAGGGTAGTTAGTTGGAACATGTTGGCACATGAACCTAATTTGATCCCTCCATGTTTCCAGCAAGCTCAATCGCTCAACCTCCACTCTTTTCAATCCTTTTCATCACGCTAATCCTGACAAGTTGACAAAGCTTTTTGAACTTGACCCCCTTAGTAAGCGTAGTAAGGCATCATCACGGACCCTCTTCCAAGCGGCTGGGAGCTGCAGGTGCTGCGATCACCCCCATGGCTTCCAGGGGCGGAGCTTCCTGGGAACGACGTCTGTGTGATGTGACCCCGATCGGTCAAGACTCCATAAGACCTACATTGGGCTGGTCGACCCTGTCTTCAATCCAAGTGAAACATGGAGTCTGGGATAAACGATCCTGCTGTTCCACGAACCTGCTTGGTTGCTGATGTTGTTGATAAACGCCAACTCCTCCTTCGGATGTGGAGAAGGATGGGGGCACACAAACCCAACAAAAAGCGGCTCGCTTTTGAGGGTTCTTCTCCCTGCGATCCATTGCAAAATGAGACAGGCCATGACAGGCCTACATCATAATGACCAGCTGTTTATCTGTCAGAAGCATTTGAAAGTCCAACATGTGAGGCTCTTGCATGTGAGTCGTTGGCGCTAGGCTTTGTTGTCTCAGAAACGCACCTTCAGAAAAGCATCCATCCGATCATCAGCATCGCACATGCAACAGATCAACAGCCATTGGGCAGCTTCCTCCTTCCGATTTCAGAGTGGTTCTACTCTGATCGGTTCGATCCCTTTTCGGATTGCAGCTAGCTATAAAAGCCACCGCTTGTTCGGGGGGCTGGTAACAACAAACCCTCCGCCGAGGCGAGGCCGGAGGGCTGGTGATTGAAGAATCTTGATGATTTCCACATGGCCTATGCCTTAGCTAGGGGGACCACGTGACTATACCCTAGATATCCCTGGAATATGTTTATATTATTCCAGGCCCCTTTGACATGAGTAAACCCTTGGGACTATGAATCTAGATTCTACATGACGGAAGCTGGATTAGCATGAAACCCCATTGGGTAGATGGCATCTGGCTGAAGACCCCCCCCTGCACACCAACCAATTATGATATAGTGGATTGAGAATAGATGGCACAACGGCCCCCAAGTTTGCTGGTTTAGTAGTGGACTCGTGGACTCCCATCTACTCTTGAAACCACTGTAATAAGCCCACTCCTCTCCCACCTTCCGCACGACCCAGCGAAAAGGCGAAGTTGAGCTCAGGAACCGCAAGTTCAGGAGAGACTGCATTTGGTCGACATGATCGACCCGCCTGAGCCGCAAAAACCGGTTGGCAAAGCAAAAAACACCATGGGGGGGTCGACGTGATCGGACAGTGTTTCTGGTGGACCAAGTCCTGACAATGGGTGAGGTTCAACTCAGTTGCACTCATGGTGCACAGACCTGAACGGAATAGGATGGGATTTGGACGTCCCATTGTGATTCAAGCGTTTAGTAGTGCCTTTAGCTTCCCTCCTGATGACTAAGGTGTAGACATGTGATTGACCTGTCAAGGAGTTGGAAACTAGTTTTCCATAGTGTTCAACACAACAATGCTGATCATTCACACTTAGACTTAGACATGACACATGCTTCGACTTTTGGGCACACATCCTACGCCAGACCAGTGTGAAAACCAGGTTGAAACTGTCCAATGTGTGGCGGACTGTGTGGCGGCTGTGAAACAATGACCTTTCCCAGCTCAATCAGCTCTGGACATGGAGCAGGATACCTTTCAATGGACAATCCCGACAATCCCCTGTTTCTAGAGATTCTCGAGGATTTCATGGTAATTCCGGGGACCATGCGTGGCCATGCCATCCACTTCCGTGAAGACCTTGAAGGCTTCGGGTCTCTCAAAAAAACTGCCCAGTCTGAATCTCCAACGTTGGATCAATCAAATGAACGCTCCTCTACCGCTCTACTGCTGCACAGACCATGAAAAAGGACAAGTTTCAACCTTGCATTCTTCAATACCAACCGGAAACCATGTATATCCACACGATCATAAACTACTCGTGATACTACCCATGTAAGCAATTATGACCACATTCACCATCAAAAACAACCAAATCTAGGCCGCATAGATCGTCTGGGGTGATGGAAACTAAAGCATCCCTGTCTCTCCATCCCGGTCTCTGCCAGTCTTCGTGGGAGCGAAATTTTTGGTTTCCATTTGGGAGCATGGTGTGCTCTCGTTTAACAATTCTCTTCTCAGCTTGTTTGTTCTCTCTTTCCTCGATCATCAGCTCCACCAAGCTGCAGCTAGCTCTGTCTGCTGAACGCTCTGAAATTCCATAATTGTATAATGTGACCACTATGTTGGGCACCTGTTCCTCTTCTTAGCAGCTGTAGCAGCAGCAGAAACATTAGCATCTCACCAATTGCAATCTCAAGTTTCGGATTATTTCGCTGAAGTAGACCCCTGGGTTTCCCACTAGGCATGTTGCAAAACACACATCCAGCACATGGACTTTTCCAGTCAGAGCGGAGTTTTTTTGGGATGCTCTGGGTTCAGTATATGGCCCCAAAACATAGAAATGCAGTCTCCCAAGAACTATGAGATGCAAAAAAATGGGCACCACGTGACACACACTTAGACTCAAAGTTCCGGTGAAGGAACATAATTTTCAGTGTGTTTTCTGCACAAGCGCTTGACTGGCTAGTTACTGCAAACGGCAATCAATGCTGGGTCCGTCGAATTGTCGTTGAACAATGCAATGGTCAGCGGAACGCAAACGCGGCTGCTCTCGAAGGAAAATTGGAGTAAGCAGCGTGATCTACAATGCAAACAACAGCAGGTACGCCAGGATGGCCAATCCTGGTATCCCGTGTTCAGACTAGCTTCGTTGGGCGTTCATCTGAACATGTTACGCCCCCCTGCTGACCATGAGATGAAACAAAAGCCTCCTTGGGACGGGGGTTGGCACACGCACATTTTGGCTAAAAGATTTTCGGATCTGTTTCCATCGCGGCCTTCCCAAAAATTGTACCGGCCTCGGATTCCATCAATGAATCAACATCGTCAACCTTCCCCAAGAGCTCATCCTCCTGCGGCTCCACGAGCAGAGTTCTTGCTGTGCGGGGTACAATGGCCGGGTTGCAAGGTCATTGGGAGGAACTATTGCAGTCCATTCATGTCCAGTTTCGGGTGATTTTGTTTGGGGATGTCCATTTCAATATGGCTTGCGTAGATACATAAGGGGATCTGCACATTGACAATGCAAATAGCCCGAACATTTTAATATTGATATATCTTGATGCATTGAGGCTGACAGTCATTTGCAGAAACCTTTTGGCTTGTATTTCTCGCCTGTCCAGCACAATCCCCCGCTCAGGGATTTCTTTAGAATTACAGAATAATTAACTTGAAACTCCTCATAAGCCAGACGAACTATATCTAAGGCTTGAAAGGGGTCGAAACCCGTCGAAAGGGATTTCCATTTCTGCTGGTCGCGCTGTCCGACACGTGCGTGTTCTCCCGACCAGGACCGTTTTTTCCTGGTCGACCAGGAGGCAACACATGGTCTCCAATTCCGTCGTTGGAATATTTGGAATAAAGGAACACACCCAAAAACATGAAAAACACACACCAACCTTGGGGCCGGCACCCAATACCAGTAGCAGTGGAAAAAAGGGTGCCGGCCGCACGGCCTGAAGTCTCTCAGCCACGAGATCCGTCTTCGCCTTTCGTCGATCTCTTCCATCCGACGTGACGGTCTGCGGGACGGTCCGCGGCTTGGTCACCAGGGTTGGAGAACCGGGTTGAAAAACAGTTCCACCTGGTCACCAGGGTGGAGTAAGGCGCCTTGGTCAACAAGAATACGTTTTTCAGCGAAACATGTCACACCATCATCAAGCTTCCATTCTCTTCAAACACAGCTGCTGATGGGTGAGACATGCACGACTTCCGCATGGCTCTCCTCGACATGATGTCCCGCTTCCTTGAAGGAGCTCTGTTCTTCGTCCTCCTCCATGTGCACCTGAAGTCTTTGCAGTCTCAAATTTGTTGAGCACTGCTAGAGTCAGACGGTTTTTCCAGTTCTGAGCTGAAACAGGCCAGGAGTCCTGCCGCGGCAACGTAAATATCTGCAGGGAAGGGGCCTCTTAATGTGTCTTCCAATGTGTCCATCTTTGTCTCAAGGCTCAGTGTACTCACGAATCTGTATAATTAATGCACACACGCAACAAAAGATTCATCGCCTTGAGCATCAGGATCCATCTCTGTTTCGGGAAGTTTACCTACCAGCCCCCCCCATTCATTTCATTCACACCACTCTTGAAACTTTTTGAACATCAGGATTCCGAAGCACACCCAACCAATCCAACTTCTCTCCTGCTGCCCAGCCACAGGCAAATTAGGGGATTTTGATATCTGCTCGTCCACATGCGAGTCCAGTGATAAAGATCCTGCCACAATTCCAGCTGGCAGCATTAGCAGCAAGCGACTGCCTCTTCTTGGGACTTCCCGACAGAAGCTCACCGCCTGTTGGGTATTCGGATTCAGGGTCATCCGGAAAATCGGGGCCATTGTCCCATCCGCGTCACGGCATAACTACAAAATATATATAGTTCCGAGAGCGGACAAATGCTATGAATGCTATGAGACGTATTTTTAGGAATGAAGGGTTCCACCTGTTGAACTCCGACCACTTCCCCTCCAACGCATTGAAGGGTTCCGTCCGATTCTTCGGTAGTACCGGCCACCTCTGGTGGCGAAGTGTAGGGGGAGCATGGGTTGGCCAAGGAGCACCAAGCAGTTGGCACCACGGCCCTGTGACTCCCTCTAAACCTGGCCCTAAACCTGTGGCATTTGGGTCTGGGTGCTTCCATGTGTGCTTCCAGTCTTCCAGTTGTTGTTTAGACTCCCGTTATCTCCTGTTCGATGCTGACTAGGCTTCCTTTCCTTCCATTCCCCCTCCTCAGCCGCCCACCAAGGTCCTTCCCATCTAGACTAAGCTTGAACTCTCGAGTGAACAGTTTTCCTGGATTCTTTGCAAAATCAGTTCACTCGGGTCGTTGTGCTTTGCAAAGCCAGTTCATTCATAGGTTTCATGCTGCAACTCTCTCTCTCTCTCTCTACCTGCTCCAACCCAGCCACCCACCGCTTGGCTCCTGAAGCCTTTGGATATGAGGACTTGCTGCCGAGACGGTCTTTCGAACCTGGCGGTGAAACGCGGAGCTCCCGGCAGCGGGAGCTCGGCGCCGCGCCCATGCCGCCCAAACAACGGCATTGGAGGAGCCAATTCCATGTCAACTCACGTAGTTATAGGCTGTAGACGATTTATAACATCCTCCTACTTCTCTTTTCTCTGCCTAGAGCTCGAGGTCGTCCTGGTGACGACCACGCTGATTGAAGCGAATCCCCCCAAAAAAACACCAACTACCAGTCGGTAGTAACGAACGACACGGTCAGACCAGTTTTGGCTCTTTTGGTGCCTTTTTGGGGCCTTCAACGATTTCTTTTTCCAAGGTGGGAGTGGGTCAAAAAGGTGTACCAAGCCACTGTCTCAGTACCTTCTTTTCGATTTGTCCTCAGTCGTTCGAAACCGTGTGATATTTGAGCCCTGGGCCTCCAATCCAACATCCCCAGTACATATCCACCCAGCCAACCAGCTGGGACCGTTCACCGAGACAGCGCGGCGCACCGCGCCTTTCCCCGACTCGGTGAACCGCGAGACGGAGAAGCTTTCGGAGCCCGCGGCCTTCACAGCAGGGTTCGCTGGTGCACAAACCAACCCAATGGATCCCAGGCAGTTCCCACTAGTAAGGAACCAGGGGCCCTCGTTCGGTCGAACTGGCTTTGGTCGTCGAACTGGAACCACGATGAACCGCTGGTTACCAGCAGTGGCAACTGGATGTCCTGGGAAAGGTTGAAGCACTCTAGTTCGACTAACTCATAGGTACCCCAGTAGGATCCTATAGTTCAGGTCACTTAACCTCTCTGAGACTCTTGGTAGATCTAAAATATGATCTCATTAGATCTCGGTACTTTTCTGTCAATGATGATGTCAATGCCAATGATAGCAATAAGACCACGAGTTTGTCCTTCTTGTGTTCCGAGGTCTTTGTGGTCTTGTTGATGTTTTTCCCGAACCGAATCTGGCGTGCAGCTTCCGGTTTGCAACCATTTGCTATTTGGTTTGCATCTTTGTGGAATTACAGTGGTTTCAGAGTAGATGGCACAGACCTCAAGATGTCCTTTACATGGGGGTTCATATAAACCACCTCTTGGGGTCTGTGCCATCTACTCTGAAACCACTGTAATCGAAATCCGAAATCCAGGTTGCCTTTGGCCGGACAACCCCTCCAGGATGCAGGAGGAAATGGCTCGGCCCTCCACCTAATCCCCCGCAGGCGCCCGCAGTGGACCCCAATTCGTTGCGCCAATGATGGTGTTTTTGACATTGAGAATGACCCGGCCGACCAAGGTGCTGGTACATGTTCCATTAGTTGAGCCAAAACTGCAGGTGCTGCTTCTGACTTATGCAATCTTACATACGAGATTATACGAGTATGCTTCCTTTGGCCTCCTTCAGTCGGGATATAGTTTCATGCCTTGCCTGAAACATCCATGGCATCTTTCCAACAGCTGGATACAGCTGGAACGTCTCGGACATCTAGCAAACCTCATCTGGCTTATACCATGAGGGCAACAAGCCTGACCTTGTAAATGGTCTCTAGATGTCTCTAGTAACGGTTTCAATCACAAAGTTGTACGTTTCGTTCATTTGCATTCATTGGATGGTTTCTGTCAGATTCGGAAACTGGTATACCCCCTCAACTTTGGAGAATACATCTTGTTGACGAGGAGGGGTCTTGTTTTCCATGGTAGCCGGTTAACTCTCGGTGTCGCTCCTGGTTTCCGACTCTTTCAAGGTTTAGTTCATGGCATGGTTGGCGCTGAGCACCGCCGATCCTCACTCTGCTCTCCAAGCGGCAGTGGATGCTTCATGTTCACTGTGGCCTTGGCAGTGGTGCTCACAGGGCGTTCACGTGTTGACTGATATTGGTATATAATACAACATCCTCAAACAACCAACTTTACGCCGGCACCCTACATAGCACAACATAGCACCATCCCGGGGTGCCATCATGGTGCGTTCAGGTGCCACTAGAGCTTCTGGAACAGCCTCGAACGGCAGTGGCTTCACCTCCCTGAGACTAAAACAGTGGCTTCACCTCTCTGGGACTAAAGCAGTGGCTTCACCTCCCTGGGACTAAAACAGTGGCTTCACCTCCTTGGGACTAAAACAGTGGCTTCACCTCCCTGGAACTAAAGCAGTGGCTTCACCTCCCTGGGACTAAAACAGTGGCTTCACCTCCCTGGGACTAAAACAGTGGCTTCACCTCCCTGGCGCTGTTTTTAGGGGAACAGTGGAACGTGTGTCGAGGTTTCGGAGTCCAGGAAGACCCATTGAGGCTTGTGGTGGTTCCCTTTCTGGTGCGTAGAAAATGCACCCAAAAGCAAACTTGACAGAACGTTCATAATCAGTGAACAATTTCATAGTTTTTTGGTGTTGGTCTTGGCGTTGGGTGTATATGAGATTGCTAAATCGCCCGTCGTAGTTCAAGATCCCTTCTCACTTCCTGTATCTTCTTTTCCCAACAACTTTGGCACGCCACCGGTCCGGTAAGCATCTCTTCATGGATTTGGTCCACCATCCTAGGGTGTAAAATGACGGGGTGACGGGGCCTGCAAAAACAAAAGAACTTCTAAATCTGAGAGTGATGCATATAATCATATATATATATATAGAAGTCACGTGGTTGTTTAGTGTTGTTTAGTAGCCACTGGCCCCACCATGTTCAAGAGGCCAGTACTTGTGATTGATGTACGCCGCTCAACATTCCCAAACCGCCATGTACGCTGCACTGCCATTGTTCACTCCATCTTTCCATCGTTCCCTGTAGTGGAAGCGTCGCCAGCTTGCTCAGCTGTATCTCTTCAGCTTGGTCTTGGCTTGTCTCAAGGACCGGTTTGGAGGGGTGGCTGGCATGCAGCGCTGGTCTGGAGCCCCTGCCAGCGGCTGGCAGGCCGGACAGGGACAGCAAATAGGCTTGGTCTACCGGCGCTGCCACCTGCACCTCCCACGTGTGGAAAGCCCCTGGACGCCACATGAGAGCTGCATGCTGGAGCCACCAGTCAAAAACGGTCAACAAAGGCCACGTGCTTCAGGGGGTCTTTGTTTGGGAATGCGGAGGCCGACAAAAACACGATTTTGCACGCATTCCCGGCAAATCCTCGTTCGTGTACGAAGGCAACAAGTGCGTGCATTCGAGCAGTTCGCGACAATGTAGTGCGGACCTTTCATGCGCCGCCCATAATCGCAACTTGTACAGCCAGATTGGGCTGCCGAGATGCACGCCACCAACATATTTTTGTTGATCCTAGGCCTTGCAAACACTGCATCCTCTGCCAGAAGACTCTGGCAGCAGCTTGGTTTGTGAGATATACTGCATGGAAATACGTCTGAAGTAACAAGATGATGTACTACATACTACATCAGAGGTCGAGCTGCGGAGGAATACCTTTTGCTGGACGCTCAATAGCGGCCTCTTCGTGAAGCCGTGCTATGCAAATTGAAGAAGGCAAAGAGCGCAAAAAAACCCTTTGCAGCTCAGCTTTTGCTTGTGTTTTGATCCCTTGCAAAGGAAACGTTGATTGTTGAAGTAAATTTGCACTCTTCCTTTGGAAAAAACAGCATCAACATTGGGACAATGACCGTGAATCAAACCTTTGTACAAAAGGTATTTGTTTAGGGGCATTGAAATTTCAAACTGTTTCTGTACTCAAAACTGTATCAGTCTGTGTAGCTTCTCGGAAACCAGTGTTTGGGGACTTTTCTGAATAAACTGTGCAGCTGAAACTGATTCTCGGATCTTCAAGCTGCCACCAATCCCCAGCCACTGCTTTCACAAACGCCTGAGGAACAGCATGCGCTGCTCCACAACTGCCTCATGACCGACATGAAAATATTGTGTTGGGATGTGTTGGGCCTTAACTGTGAGCGCACACTGCGGTAGAGCTAGCCAGTACGGACATCTACTGTAAAGTGGTAAAGTGACCCATGTCTCAAAACGACATGGGTCACATTCTGCTGGCCGCTGCCCGAACCCCACCGCCAGGGCCCCAAGGGCTTGTTAGTCAGTCTAAACTGAGTAAGTCAGCAAGTCCTTATCACCACTCATTGAGGTCCTTGTCAGGGAGGCTTCCAATGAGAAGAATCCCATAGTCCAGCTTGCTGCTGAACCATTAAAACCAAAAAAGATCGCAAAGCTAGGGCCCCATCCTCCGATTTGAAACAAGGGCGAGAAAAGAAACACTCTGCCAACCCCGACCAATCATACTCATACATTGTAGCTCCTTCCAAAAAACGTGCAGGCATACAGTCAGCATGTCTCATTGCTCCCATCCTAAGCCTGAGAAGATTGCCCAAGTTGGGGGAACGACTCAAACACCAACGAAAGAACCTTGGATGCTGGAAAACCTGGGTCCCAACCGATGGTTAGTAACTACTCCTTGGTATAACCCATGGTTTTATAGCTATAACCCTTGGCATAACACCATTGGTTAGTTAGTAGCTACTCCTTGGTTAGTTATAAACACCACTTTCAATGACACCATTCGATCCTGCAGTGTCCCGACGTTCGGCCTATCTTCTCATCGGTCGCCCAGGTGCCCTTGACCGTGGGAGTCGCGGCCTCTGCAGCCTACGGCCAGCCGGTGCTGGGTGGAAGTCCGGAGGCCATCGCTACCAGGGTCGGAAGCCATCGCCAGGGTTTGAGGCCACCAAAGCCTTGACGTGTTATCTTTCCGGGTGCAGTGGCTGTGTGCTCTTTTGTTTTGCGGCTGGGTCATGCCTGAGACCGGGTGTCGAAGACTGCAACCTGGGTAGTGAGAAACGTCGACTCTTGGTGAAGAAACACATCATAGAAAGAAGGTTTATCAATCCAAATGGCTTATTGATTTTTCAACCGTCTGCAAAAAACAACGACTATTTCACCTTATTTGATGGATGTTGACAATGGACTTGGAGGGTTTCCGGTGGGTCAGCTGGGTGAAGAGCCGGACTGTTCATCCCAGCTTTTTCCTGTCCGAATCTAGAGAGCCACATCTACGCAAATCTATGAACAAGGGCAAGAATATAATATAGCTCCTTTCTTCCCCTCGGAGGGTGGGGCAATCGAGAGCCTCCAAAGCAACCTTAATGTATAGGATTCTAGGATTATATAGGGTAGGTCTTAGGTATGCTTCATTCCATCTCCCCATGCTTCTCCCCCGCCCCTGTTCAACCTCAGGACCTGTCTTTTCATGTCTCATCCCCGTCCTGCAGCGCCAGGTTGGTGTCATCGAAGGCGTGCCCTTCCTGGCGCCCGACCGGCCGCGGGAAGGCGTCCGTCCTGGCATGTCCTGGCGTCCTTCTTCCGGGCGTACCAGAAAAGCAGCTTCGTCGAATCGCTGTTCGACGGTCTGAATCCCAAAGAACCAGTACCCAAACACGACCTGTCTGGGACTGCCATGACGGACTGCCGAGAAACGGCCAGGGGTGGTGCCAGGGCGTCTTTCTGGGGCGGCATATATGGCAGTCCCATGGAGTGTCTGGGGTATAGTTTAACTGAAGACTTTAAACTACAAATCCAGGTCAAGTCAACCGTTTGACTGTTTTTGCTAGCTAGAGAAGGGTCCTGCTTTTTCCGCCTGTTTGCTTGTTAATGTTTATTAGTGGGACACCTGACCCACAAAAGGTTCAAGGTCATCCACTGTAGGTCAATCAGTGTTCGGCAAACGAGGTGACCTTGCGCTCGTTCGCAAAAGCGCCAAAGCCCGAATCGATCATAACCGGTACTTGATCCAATTGGACGGGGCCTGGTCCACCACGGTGGAACCGTCGTCTTCGCTCCCGGGCGCGGACGAAGATGCAGGGAATCCAAGAAAACAAGGAAAAGGACGGCGGCATCCGGGGCATCCAGTTACACTCCCGAAAACTCACATGGAACCTGATGGCATGGACCAGACTGGAAGACGATTTTCCTCTACAAACCCAGTGGTTTTCAGGTTGCATGTGGGTCTCTTTTCTTTGGCCACCGTGCTTCGAACCGTTCTGCCATCGGCCGACTGGTGACGACCCCAGAGACCGGGAGTACAACGACCGTAAGCCGTGCACTCTCATTCTGTCTTACAGTCTGCCTCGTTGGTGAAATCTCTTTCTAAAAATCAACAGGCTGTTACAAAACCAACATGAGATGGGCCTCTCGTTCCTGATTTTTCCTCTAACTAGGCTCCTCATGTTTACTGTCCCGACCGAATGTGGGGGTCTAAATCATAAATTGGTGGTTCCGACAAGGTTGCTCAAACATTTCCAATCTTGCTGGCCCTTTGATTTTTGATTTTGCAAATATATATAAGCACACAAGGGTGCTAGGGCCAGGGCGACCTAGGGCAGGGTCATCAAAACCCTCCAAGAAAACTTGAGGCCAAGGGGGGGGCGAAAGCTAGCGCTCCAGAATGGTAAAGTGGAGGGCAGCGAGGTAGGAAAAAACACGGCGCTCTTTTTGGAGGCAGGGGTGAAGAGTCCTTTATATGTGGCTCTTTGCCCGGATCCTCCTGCGAGAGAAGAGAGAGAAGAGAGACGGAAAGACGAGAGACAGAGAGGAGAGAGAGAGAGAGAGGAGAGAGAGATGAGAGAGATGAGAAAGAGATGAGAGAGATGAGAGAGATGAGAAAGAGATGAGAAAGAGATGAGAGAGATGAGAGAGACAGTGAGACAGTGAGACAGTGAGAGTGAGCGAGTGCGGCCGCAAGATACGCAACGCTAACCGCATGCCAAAGAGCGACGACAGGATGGAGTCGAACTTGCGAAGAGGGAGGAGGGAGGGAGGGAAGATGGGAGGAAGACAAGGAGGAGGAGAGGGGGGGAGGTGGGGAGAGGGGAGGTGGGGAGAGGGGAAGTGGGGTTCGCTAGCTTTCGTGAAATTGTCAAGTAATATATATATATATATTACAATAGATATATATATATATCCTCTGCAGCCATGTTGGCAGGCAACGTGCCCAAGGATAAAATCAGTGAAAGGGAAAAAACGACCAACCCAGGCTCCGTGCAAGGAACAAACAAAACAAAAACACCTAATGTTCACATGACAGAAATAAACATTAAACATTAACCACCAGAAATAAACGACATTAGAAATAAACCACATTCACCTTCACTCCACCTGGCCTGGTCCTCGTTCGGGTTGGACTCTGGAGAAGCCACCAACGACCTGCGGGCATCGTCCGTGGTCTTGGAGCGCTTCCTGGGCGGAGGGCGGAGGGCGCGCTCCGACCGGGCGCGCGCTCCGACCGCTAACACCGCTCGCCCGATGAGGAACGGAAGCCAAGATGGGCCTGGAACCAAGATCGGCATGCTGATCTCGGGTTTCATCGATTTTTTTTAGGCCGGATGGATGCGCTATTTTGCGTGACTTCGAGTGATCCACATCCTGTCGACTTGGCGACTTGGAAGAAGGCACGGCACATGGACAAACTATCCTGACAGCTGCTGCAGGGCACGTGCACTGACACAATGTTCTGGCATGTGTTTTGGCTCATCTGGCATAGAATTCTGGGCCACGTTTTTTTTTTGGGGGGGGGTTGTTTAAATAAGTGCTCTGGCATGCGTTCTCGAATTTGTCCTGCCGCCAAGTCTGACATGTGTTCCAATATGTCTCAACATGTGTTCTGACATGCGTTCTGCCACCATTCCGACGATTGTTCTGGCAGTATGTCTGCCAAGTGTTCCGGCTTAAAGTGGAATGACTTCGACCGGGACATCAAGTATGGAATGTCTGGCATGGCATGTCTGTATTCTGGCTGCTCCATGAAACCATGGAAGTGGACCTTCTGGCGGAAGTGGCCCCTTTCCTCTACCAAGAGGAGTATTGTCGTAACCATAATTGTTGGGAGAGTCTTTCTTCGGCCGCTCTGATACACTCCGTGGAACTCGGTTACGTGGATGCCATGGCCTCGAGTTCGGAAGACCATGAACTCCCACCACAAACAGGTGGTTTTCCACGTAACCATGTTAGTTCTCGGGAGTGTATGTATTCTGCGCCAAGTCCTGCGCACTCCACTTATAGCCTGCCACCCGTTTAGTAAAAGTCCGTCCCGCGCGCACCACGCACGCACGCCTGTGCCGGTTGCCTCGGCAACCGGCGGTGCAGTCCAGCGAAGATGTTCTGACATGCTGGAGGTCTCGTGTTCTGACATGTGTCCCGCTGTCCAGTCTGCAATGTGTTCTGGGATGTTCTGGGAAGGTGGGAAGGCAAGTGGAGGAAGGCGAGTGGGGGGGGGGCGGGCGGTGACGGGCAGAAGCACTGACATAAATCTATAGACCATCACCTGACAGGTGAGAGGGAATACAGTAATCACATGGGTTGTCATTCCAGTTTCACTTTTGGGCTAACTTACGTTGATTTATTGAAGGTCGCCCTAAAACTAAGGTCAAGTGATCACATCATTATATCACATGGGGATGGATCAAAACCTGGAGCCCTGGCCCACCACGTAGCTTGACTCTCCTGGTGCCATGACCCACAGCCAGATCAGTTCAGCTGATCCAGCTGATGCAGAATTGCATGTAGGAAATCCAGGTTTGGAGAGGAAACAATTCTTCTCCCTCCTGGCTCCGATCATGTTCGGCTTTCACTCCACCCCTGCACATCCTCGCCCCCCTGAGAGGCGTTCTCCTGACCCTGTCATGTTGGCTCCTCAAGCCCCACCCGGTGCGATTTCAGCGACAACAAGGACTCGACCCAATCGTCATCACCGAAGTCATGCACTGGTCTGTCATAGGGAGTGTGACAAAAAATCAAAGCCACGCATCCAATCACATCCATGTCACGCATCCACTCACTACCTCCAAAGTACCTTAAAACATGGGACATGACCCTAAGACAAGTACTTGTACCCATTTTCCGTGAACTCCAATCAATCTCTATCAAACTCTCAGACCCCTATCGATCCATCAGTCCTGAAAACGACGACTCAATGGTGTGTTGTACGGCTCCCCCCAAAACCAGGAAACAACAATGGGCCGGCTGCCATGGATTTACATTTAAGAAAACCACTGATGTTTCCTACAGATGTGTCTCTTTTTTTAATGATGTATTTCATTGTCTTTAATGATTTAATGATCTTTCATGTTTCTTTTCACGGACGGGATTGACTCAAAGAAAAACCGCTCAAAATCATTCAAACTCCCTCTATTGCCACCCGTTTACGGGTGGCCAGTTTCTGTTGTCCGACAGTCCCGCCCCGAAAACCCAAAAAGCACCGCCGGTACTGGCATTGGCACTGCATCGGCAAGCGTCCCCGTCACGGGTCCCGGTAGGGCCAGGCGTGAGGACGAGTGAAATATCCCCAAAACCTGCCGACCACGAGGAAGCTGTGAAGCTGCTCAAGTGCGTGGTGCCAGGCTGGTGAGGTGGGGTCCCTAAATAAGGGAAGGTTGGGTCCCAAACAGGTTGGGTGAAAATACCTGGCAGCAGCTCGCAGGTGGTTCATTGTCCATGCTGATGAGTTTGGAGTTACCTGCTCTCTTGGATGGTTGATTGCGAGCGGTGCAAGCAAAACGTAGCAATCCCGGAGCAACTGTAGGACTGTAGGGATAGAAGCACGATGAAACATTTGACAGTTCATGCCAGTTCCATACAGTCCACATCCAATCCATTCCAAAAATCACTGGATGAAGATGAGAGAGTCCGACAATCAATCTGGGGTCCTTCGCGGTGATTCACACTGTTCCCGTTCAGTTTTGACCTGCACACATGTTCACCTTGCGCTCATGCGGATCCACATGGCGCGTGCGCCCGCATGGCAGCCACCCTCGACCCTTCGGACCAGGACCCGATCGACCCGTCAACCGATCGACGGTCGATCGGACGAACTTCACCGACTATAGGACCGGCGCCTTGGAAAGCGTGGGCCGCACCTGGGGACAGGGGATTTCCGGTGCGCAAACCGAGCGAGCTCGGGGTCATACGTATACGGCCCCCAAAACAACTCCGAGTTCGGGTCATCGGCTTTTTTTCTCGGGGCCAACCGGACAAAACGTCGCTTTTGTTTCGCGAACGCGTTGAAGTAGTTCGACTCAGCATGACTCAGCCGCTGGTGACCATGATGACCTGTTAGGGCTCCAGTCGTACCTCCAAAACGAAGGTATGACTGGATCCTCTCAAAACCCCAAACGTACGGTACGACTGGAGCCCTAGGGGACCTGTGTGGGACTCCAAATCACTGGAATCTATTTGCCACATCGACCTCTTTTCAACCAATTGGGATAGTGTATACGCAACGACTTACATGGAGTGTTTGGAAACTGTGCAAGAATCATACAACGTTAGTTGGGGAGTGCCAACGTGCTGAACTCTTTCTTGGTGGGCCTACTAGAGATACCCGAGAAAAGCTGAGGATCAATCTTGGTGACAACGGTTCAGGCGTCAATGTAATATTACATGACCCAGGAGGAGGAGGAGGAGGAGAAGCAGGCGACGTCTTTGCTGTATATACATATATATATATAACATGTATATATAAATACGGTATATATACTTGTCCATTTTTCCCCCTATTCATGGAACATGTTTGATATTGTTTGATTCTCATCATTTTCGGTCTGGACAAGTCTTATTATATACCCTCCCTGACATCATCATGGAAGCCGAAAACAATCTGTTTGGCATTCGGAAGATGGCCATCCTATCCACTTGAGAGAGGAAGGGGTGAACGAAAGGTAGCAGGCACAGGTAGCCTGGTAGAACTCCATGACGGCGTCAAAGGTGGATGGATGTGACCCGGCGCAGGGGGGGAATGATCCAGGATTACAGGACCAAACTCAATGCACAATCCCAACTCCAATTGAAATACATTCTTGCTAAAGCAAGGCGAACTCAGGCAGCTCAAGCTACCTTTCGTGACTTCCAGAACCAATTCCAGGTGTGTAACCTGAAAACATGTATAGCAAACAAAGTCAATGTGTCTGGACGTTCCCACCGATCGTCCCAAAGCTCGATGTGCCAGGAGGCCCGAGGCAAGCGGAAGGAGCTAATCTGCCTGAGTCCAGGATCGGACACCTTCGAGCCTCACTCCCAAACACCCCACCGGACCTCAAGTCTCTTCCGTTCATTTTCTGCAGTCCACCCGGGGTTCCTTGCTTTTGACCGGAGCCATAGAGTCTATGCACAAGCACAGGTCAGGTCAGCCATATAGGGACCCGATCGGTCGGACCTCTTGAAGAATCCCCTCGTTTCATCCAGCGCTTCGTGAAGAAGGAGGCGTTTGGGGCCCAAGTTTGGGGGCAATAGCACTCCCCAATAGCACTCACGCAGTGGCTGGCCAACTTCCCCAGACTTCGCAGACTTCGCAGGTTTGGGACCGGCGCGGGGGTCACGTGCGCATCGACTTTTGGATCACTTGCGCATCGGGGATCACTTGCGCATCGATGGCAAGTAATGGTAAGATCTAATGGAATGATGGGCCCATGTCCACATCATCACATCCGACATCCCGTGCACAACCGACACACAGAGTTCGCCACCAAGTGGGACAGCCTGTTTGTCCAAATAGTTTTAAACTTGTGTTTAGTACAGGCCTCTGTTTCAAGGAAACATCTTTGGAGAGCTAAGTTTCCAAAAAAATCTAGGAGTCAAATCATGATTGCTCGGGCGTATTTGAGTTTAGTAGATTACTCTTTAGCGGCCGCACATTGCATGTTGCGCTCAACGAAAACCCGACGCACAAGCGATCCAAAACCTGACGCACAAGCGAACCCCCGCCCTTTGGAACCTGACCCCCGCTATGGCGGTTGGTCCCACGGTTGTTAACATCCAAGTGTTATGAGACGTATTCCGCTGTATTCTCCTGTCACCAGGTGGAAAGAAACACATGCCACAAACAATGCATATATAGTTGCATCTTACAGTTCTAAATACCTGGACCATCCGAGTAGTGGGTGTCCTGGCGTGTTCGATCCCATCCAGTAGTGGGCCGGGGCCCGTCAGCCAGGTGACCCAGATGCTCGGATGCTCCGTACGTCTGTTTTCGTGTGAACCTGGTTCTTCAGTACGTGACCGTACTTGATCACCTGGTTGGTTCGGTCACGTGACGCCTCCCTGTTGGGTCACTTAGGAACCTTCAAGAGGTCACCTTGAAGCTGGAAGGTTTTGTCCCCTCGTTGATCCCCCCACTGCGCCAGCTTCGCTCGTGGCCTCAGGGCACTCCCTGTCACGGTCCGCCACACCGAGGGCCTCACGAAACCGCGGAACGCGGAACGCGGGTGACCGGGGGAACTGCGGGTGAAAGAGGGGGAACTGCAGGTGACCTGTTGAGGATCATATTCCCTCAATCTTGGTCTTTTGGAGACAAATTACGTAGTAGCAACTCCATCCCAAGGGCTGCAAATGGCTCCAAGTACCTCCTGATGTTGGGGTAGGTGCCAAAGGGATAGTCTACACACCTTGTGAGAAGGCGCTGGGAGCCCACTTCTGTGGCGCCAGCTTCACCGACCAAGAACTCTCCTGCGCTGCGACCGCACCGACCGACGAGTGCCAACCGCGGCAGGCAGCAGCACGGCCTCTCCGTGGTGGTCTGAGTGGACGGGAGTTCCGACACGTCGGGGCCTCGGTCGAGTCGTCGACCGTCCCCGTCCGCCGTCGGACGGAGGGATGGAGGGACGTGACGGACAAAGAACGGTTTGGTTTTGGATGGTTTTTGGGAGGTGGGAGTCCAACCATTGGATGAATTTGGGGGGGTGTCTGTATGCCACAGAACTATGGTTCCACGATGTTGGTCACTCTATAACCTGACCAACCTGTCGTTGAATGGTCTTTGAGCCTTTGAAAGCCAAACGGTCTCCCCGGGTCTTTCCCCCTCATGTCCTTTAACATGACACACCTTCTCATTCATTGTTTTGCTTGAGGATAGGTCGGATATGTGTGTTATTCATGTTGGTTGAGCCACCTCCACCATCCTCCATGCCTTGGCTTTGGATGTTGCAGAGTCGAGTGGTCTTTGCACAGGCTAGAACTTCGTGAAGAAACCATGGCATGTCATGTCAGGAGAGTTCTCATCATACCAGCTTCTGGAAGCTACGAAAGGAACCGTGAGCTTCCATGGGTTTCTATCTTCCGATGTCCAAAGGTGATGACTTAAAAGGATCTGATTCTTAAGCAAACCAAATCACTCTGAGGGCATATGATGGCATATAGACCAGAACAAAGCCTTAGACTTGGATTGGGGGGTAGCAGCCAGCCTATAATGTTGCCCTCCGTCTTCGGCTCCCCACTCTCTTCAGAAAATTCTTCAAAGCTCTCGGCACCTGTCGGGAGCTGATCGGCTTCGTCTTGAGCTTCGCTGACATGTAGGGGGGAACAAAACACTCTCTTCAGAGCGTGTGGGGGGATTTTTCAATTAGAGACCTGCTAACCAATGGGTAGACTGGTCTTGGTCTGTTTCCTTACTTGCAGGGGGTCGAACTGGGAGGTCTCGTATTTTAATACACACGCATGTGGGGAAACCTCCGAACATGGAGGTCGTGCCAGTGAACTTGACACTGCAGCAGTTGGACATGATACCGAACGACTTCTTCACTTGCACATCTTGCACCACTGTCCGGCTGGAGGAAAGGGCTCCGCAGCTCCCTTGAAGTCATGGCCACCTCTCAACGAATTCGACAGAAACTTGAGGCCATCGGTTGGTGACGAAAGCTAGCTGCATCTAACCACATGGCCCTTACAAACGGATGGGGATGTGCAGCATGATGTGAAACACGATGGTCCCAGAACGGATGCTATCAGAACAAGTATGCTCCCAAATCTGGCACGTCCAAGAGGGGAGTTGAACCCGCGGAGGGTGAGAATGGGTGATCTAGCAGTGGATAATTCACTGGGTAGGCGATTCCATGCGATTCCATCCCCCAGCCCATAACTTGCTAAAGCCAGAGTAACCTCAGCTAGCTGAAGCTATATAATTGCTCTCGTGACATGCCTAGATCAATCCCTAAAGCCGTGACCAAGACGGGCCACAGCGGAGGGACCTCTCTTGGAATGCACTTAGACCGAAGCACCCAGGCCTGCTGCTGAAGCTGGTAGGTGGCCTTAAACTCAGACCAAGCCCACAATCCCACAACTGACTTCCTCAACCTTGGAAAAACATGTTACTATTTATTTTTCTATCTGATATCTATCTGTCACTGTTCATTATTCTAGTGGGGAAACCAATCGCCCAAAAAGGTTCAAGGTTCTCCACTTGTTCTGTAGGCATAAACCTACAGAAAATGATGATGATTTCCTTACTTTCGATCGGTGCTTAGTATCACGAAGTTCGGTGCCCCCAAAAAAACCGGTGGTCGAATCCCTCGTCCGACTGAGACTTTTAGGGGGGGAACATTTTTTGTTCCCATAACACGGTGTCAATGGGCTTGGACCGTATGTAAAATTTGCCCTACACCTCCAGTCGTACCTCCTCAGAAGGTATTTGGACCTTCCAAACCCGCCCCAAACACCTTCTCAGGTTCGGTACGACTGGAGGCCCCATGCTGTGTCTGGGACATGCTCCATGGACCGAACGGCATTCGATCAAGTGTCGAAGAAGCCAGTTCCATAGCCGAATATCAGTCCGGCAACGGTGCAGCGTGATGAAGCTTTGCAAAAAACACCAACTTTTAGGCTGGGAAATGGGACACGGATGTTTTGAGACAGAAGCAAGCCACTTACATCCAATAACTCATTGCAGTAGCATATTTCCGCCTCATAGGAACAAACAAGTGCTTTCTTGCACACGATTGCTCTCCTCAGACCTTTTGCTAATGTAGACTCTTACAAAAACCTCTCCAGGCCCGTGAGGTTTTATCAATCAAGAGTCCACACACACACACACAAACCCCGCTGTTTCCTCGAAAAACAAAAGTTTAACCTCTTAATCCCCAAAAGCGGTTTTGCTGGTCATCCACTTGTCCTGGGTAATTAGGGCAATACACCCCAACCCTTTTTCATCCCGGTCCAAACTCCGGCAAAAAGAGCGGCATCTCGTCCATCCGCGAACCCGCTTCCGCTTCATCAACCCGCTTCGGCGCGACGATCCGAGTGGCCAAGTTTGACCAACCCAGCGAGGGCCGCGCGATAAGCCCGGCCACCCTGACGAGAGGACGGACGGTCCAAAGGTGGGTGGGCGCACACGCCAGTATGTTTGTGGGGCTGATTCTGAGTTGATGTTTTAAGGTATATCATGTAATAAGTTGTAAAACAATAGTTTATATGTATATATGTTATATATGCATATATGAATATTGTTTTTACAACTCATTGCATGATACACCTTAAAACATCAACTCAGAATCAAATCTGCCATCTGCCCTCTCTTTCCAAATAGTAGGCTACATATATATATATATAAACATATTACTATTGTTACTATATTGTTATTTTATAGTTTAGTTATATAAGGACGCACGAGCGCCGCGTCCAACGGAACGGAGCTCATGAGCCGGAGCCCGGATTCGACGATTCACCTCGCTGCCTTCTGAAGAGTGTTCAAAGAAGCCAATGGGGGACGTCACGAAGCAACACCCGGACATTCTTGGAGGACATGCTTCAAGAAAGGTGTCCAAGGAAAATTCACACATGTCACATAGCAACACCCAACAGGCCAGTAGGATCAAACTCAATCCATCACCTCATGAAGAGACAAACAGGTGGTTTGTGCCCCCCAAAATCCCACCGAAAACGACAGACCGACAAACCCAGTACGGTCTGAGAGCGACCAGCGACAACGAGCGACTTGGAGCGACCAGCTCGGACTGCGGACTCAGCAGGACTGGGAGATCCGGTGCGTCGGGAAAAGCCCAGCGACATATCATGTCATCGCTACTGGTCACAAGGGCATCGCTACTAGTCACAAGGGCATCGCTACTAGTAACAAGGGCAATTACTAGTAGCTAGAAGCTACTAGTAGCTATTTGCAACTGGTACTGATGCACTTGTTACCAGTAGCGATGCACCTGTTACTAGTAGCTAGAAGCTCCATTGGATTTCGGATCAGCCACCCCAGGTCAAGTCACATGCCGAGATGGTTCGGATCCCCCAAAAGTCTTGGGGTATAGCTTTTGGAGGAGGCAGCCTGTCAGTCCGTCCCTATCGCTTCAGGAGGTACGGAAGGAGCCCCCAAGATGCCCCATGGCGCTCATTGCGGGGCCCACCTGTGCGGCTCGGGCTCCGAGGCCGGTCGGGACTGGTGCCGAGTTCGAAAGGCGCCTTGTCCTGCAGGACCTCATCGGGTGCTGAATCTCGTAGCTTCAAGAAAGCTTCCAAGCTAGAAGGCCGGTCCTGGCACCCCAAGATCGCCTTTTGATGCCGAGAAAGCAAACGCAGATGGGATGAACCAAGTACATCTGTAAAACCAAAAACCAATAAAACAAAATGCCTACAGCATTGCACCTTCAGCTCTTGATGCATCAATTCCCTGAGATGAAGAAGCTGTTCAATCCAAATGGGGGGGTTTGAATCGAGACTCCACGATGCCCGGCCATGGGTGTTTGTCCGCGAGGTCACTTCTTTGGGGGCAGGAGGTGCAAACAAATTCACCCTATACCGTATACCGGCATCCTCCAACAGGTCTCCTTTAGAGGGTTCTTGGGCCCCAGCAGGTCTCAATTGGTGACCTGTTGGAGAATGCTGGTCTATGACGGTAGATGGTCATGGGTCAAGGGTCAAGAACCACCAGAATACCTAGGTCCATGAGTTTTTCCCATACCCCGGACACCTCAATAACTTTCTTTTGATCCTGATCATAATTTCTTTTTGAACCCCATGCCCCTCGGGTCCTCCGGTCGCAGCGAAACGACGACAGGTGGGGCGACCCATTGGGCGGGGTGGGCTGGAGCCATTTCCCATAGCCTTCACCATTCTGTGAGGGTCTGAGTGCTTCTGAGATCTGACTGCATGACATGTGTTCGCTGGTGGGCCACTGGCGGGTCGTTTTATCTTTTTCGGGAAAGAAGCTCGTTCTCCTTCTGTGGAAATTTGAACTCAACTTTCTCAAATTGGGCACTTCTCCAATGGAGGAAAAGTGAATGATTAGGCTTCGGTGGGTGATCTATACCATCCCCACACGGTGGTGGATTAAGTCAACAACAATCAATCGCCCAGTGGTCATTCGCAAGTAAAACAGAACAAACACTCTCCACATTGAACTGGTAGCTCTTCCCGATCTGACACGTCCCGTCCTCCGGCTTCTTCTGGATCCTGGGAGTGATCCAGTCAGCGATAGCTGAGTATCAGTGGACGGACCCCGAGGAGTCAAATATAGATGAATAACAACACAACCTCAGCACGACGCTCGTTAGAGCGTTCTATAGACCGTAGTTCGTGGGTGGGTATACCCTGCGCATGCCTGCGCAAAGAATCAGGAGGATCTACACTATTGAACACTCCTCCTGGAACCTCCTGTAACTCACATGGAAGTGGATAGCATGGCCCCGTGGAAGACCATGTTCCCCTACAAATAAGAGGCTTTACACTTCCATGTTAGTTCATGTTAGTTCCAGGGACAAAGTGGCATTTCATGGGGCGAATGTTCACCGGATGAGTTGGGGTCCATCTTCCCTTCCCGGCAACGTGAGTCACCCTGGACCTGTCCCACGGTTTTGATCCGACTGTGGAACTTCCAAGCGCTGGAAACTACGACCTCCACTGAGATTCGGATCACTTTGGAAAAGAAACCACACATGTCACACCATTCCACACCCCGTTATTCCCTCAGCCCAAAACCTAACGCCATCCAACGCCGGCTGGTGACCTCAAATAGGACCCGAATTACCTGGGGAAGCCTCCCGGGTTCTGCCAAACCCTCCTGGCCATGCAGGTCCAGGCGCTCCACACCCCACCGCAACTGCAGCTGAAGGGGCAAGTGATCCATGAGCCCAATCAACTCGGGCCTCACCGGTCGGGACTCCTCGTCGGGGTAGTGCACCTGGCGTTCGCTCCCCGAGCCCACGCGTCGCGTGGCTCGGGTGGGTTTCCCGGTGGGCATGGCGGAGCAGTGCCGGAGGGGGGGCGGGAAGCGGGGCGTGGCGGGAGAAGTGCCGGAGCGGCGAGTGAACTCATGATGTCATGCTCGTGGACAAAGACAAAGTGAGGACGACGGTCATAGCATTTCATGGCTGCGCTGCTTCGATGTCATCATACTTCATCGTTTGCCTACGCATGTCTCATCAAGTGAGTAGCTAGGTGATGGATCAGTACCTATAGAAGGGTCCAGGAATCAACAGGTTGTGCCCTCATCACTAGCCCCTCATCACTCATCCTCAAAAGTCCAGAACTGAACTCACAAGATCGACCTACTACCTATGGGTTGGAGGCAAGATGAGGCAAGAATCGCTCCACTCCGTGGAACTCACATGGAAGATTGTGGATGCCATGGCCCTGAAAGGAACTTGGAAGACCATTTTCTGACACCACCTGATGATGAAGCCCAGACCTCGCAGGCACGAGTCTTATTCAGGATGTCCTCTTGAGTGTCAGCCTCAGCACGAGAAGGCGGGCGAACGATCGCAGGTGCCGAGCTTGGCTGGGGTACACGTCGGAAGGTGACACGAAACGAACCGTTTAAAAGCTCGTTTGAGCATGCATTCACCTGTTATATAATTTGTCCGAATAAGACTGACTTTTCAAAAAACCGAAGGCCCTCTGATCCGTTCATGCTGGAGAGGGTGACTTGTGAGATCTTGTGAGTTTGGATTCTACTTCTTGAGACACGTTGATGTCATATGGAGGCCTACAGTGGCCTACAGTCTCCTACAGTCAGGGCAAAGAACGAAAGCGAGGCCGTTGAAATTCCAACTGCGCAGAACTGCAATGTGACAGGGCCCGTCGTGGGTAACAACAGTCACCACTTCCCCACAAAACTGAACGACAAGCCTGGCCCAACTCATACTTGGACCTGGGTCCTTCTTGAGGACCCCATTTCTCAAGTGAATGATGATGATGCTTTTGCAGCCCATCTGACAAATAACGGTACCTCATTGGAGGTTCTACTTAGATTTAGATATCTACTTACCATGTTCCGAACCTGTTCCAACATCCCCTCTTATCCCCTCCACAAGGGCCATTTTTCCTGTGAAACGGCGGCTCTGCTGCCCAGGCACCCAAAAGGGCAAGGTCCGAAAAAGCATGAAATAGCAAAGGACACCCGTGGCGAAAACATCTACCTGAGCCGAGCGAACAAGAAACAAACACTTTTGGCTGGTTTCTAAAAATCAATCATGTTGCAATATTGCACAGTTGGAAGGCCCAGGTATTTTGCACCATTAAAGAACACGTTGACCATGCACCCCAAAGTTGTTGGCACTTGGGGAGGCATTCGAAAACCCGAAGCCAATGGCTGCTCATTGCCCAGACACGACCAATGGGACTGGAATATATGCCGCCCCATTGACCCCCCAAAGGCACCCCTGGCCTGATCGGCAGTCCCACTGGCAGTCCCAAACGGGGGTTAGTGTGGCCGAGGACTTCACCTTTCTCCTCTCTTCCGTGAAGAATTGGTTTCCTACTGCCCAGACACGACCTGTCTGGGACTGCCACGACGGACTGCTGAGAAACGGCCAGGGGTGGTGCCAGGATGTGCCAGGGGGTCCATGGGGTGGCAGTCCCATTGGTCGTGTCTGGGATTGGGGCGCGCTGAACATACCCGTCGATCCCAATGCTCAGAGAGGCGCGACACTCAACAAAAGACACATCCGAACATCCGAACATGGCTTCTTTCTTAGCAGATAGATCACAGGTCGCTCCCTCCCCCCCCTACGAAAACCGCAGACCCCGATGACGAGCCGGTCCAGCCGGTCCTGCAAACGAAGGCCCAACGGATCGAAGCGGGGGCTTCCTTGATCTCTTCCTTTCGCCTTCGTCCGGTGGATTCCGGGCAGCCTCCCTTCTCCGCCACCGCCACCGCTCGGTGAAGATCAGCGGTGTTCCGCGCTGTCCCAGTCGGTCCCGGGTCGTCGTCTATCGCGCTGATTCGAAGCTCGAACGAAAACGGCCTTCTCGTTGTAGCGTTCCGGCACCAGGGCGATGACTTCGGGCGCCGCGTAGCCTGGAGAGCCCACGGGCCGCATCATCTCCTGGAGATCCAGGCGTGGCGAGACTGAAGGCAATTCCAAGTGTGGCATGAAAACTCTATGTCACCGGTTCTTGCCCGGTTGAGCTCAGGTTGAGCTGCCATCTGGGTGAACTCCATGTTTGAGCCGCGAGATGGTGGATTCGAACGCATCGAGTTCGCGAGTTTCGGGGCCCGAGACGGAGCATGGGCCGGTCCATGGGTGACGGACGGGTGTTGATACCTGGACCTTTTTGTCGGAGTGTCCTGGACCTGGAGATCTCTCTGTTTCGTGTGTGGGCTTACCCCTTGGAGGGTGCTGGTATATGCTTTTGGGATCAATCTAACAATGGTTCTTATGGAGCTGTTGTGATCTGTTGTGGATCAAAACCCATGCGTGCAAACAAAAATGGTGTAGTCGGTGTAGTTGTAGTTGGTATCCCTGAGAGCTTTGCAAATGGAACCTGAAGCCAGCATCCGTGGATGCTTTGTCATCTGTCATCAGGCAAGGCACCTACACCCTTTGCACTGCTTAAAGGAAGTCTTCAGAATGGTCGCCTTATAGTCGATGAACAACTTGGCATTGAATTGGTAGAGTTAGATATATACCCAGGGCACCCAGTTGCCACATGTTACCACTATAGCTGGCAACCAGTGGTTCCAGTTCGACTAAAACCGTTGACCTAGAATCCCTGGTTTCTGAAAAAGAGTGGTTTGCCTGGGGTCCACTGGGATACATCGATGTTTGTGGAATTTGACGTACTCAGTGGACCTCTCACGATCGGTTTCCCTGGCATCTTGTTGGTGGCAGGTGTTCTTTCTCGACGGCCGAAAGGACGAAGGCGACGAACGGTGACCCCCTGGCAGATCAGAATCCACTACCCCCCGTAGGGCTCCAGTCGCAGTTTCGGTTCGGTGGGACTGGGTGCCGTCTCCAAATCCAGTCAGACCTTCTGAGGTGCGACTGGGGCCCTAGGGACCAGCTTTATGTTGGGTATCTCCTATTCCCTGTAACAGTGGATGAGGACGATAACCAGTTGCAGGCCTTCCTCTCAAATAGTGGTTTTTAGTTGTTTATCAACTGTTACAAATATATCATGGGACAGACCCAAGCCTGAACTGGGTCAAGCTCTTGGACTCTCGGGGGGGTATGGAACGGGTCTTCGGTCTCGCTCCTGCTCATCGTTCACATTGGCTGAGATGCCGAAGTCCTCAGGTCCGCTCGGGGTGAACCGGGCACGGAGGGCCAGGGCTTGGCGAAGCAAACAGGAACACAACCCAAAGGATCCAGGCAAAGAACGCTTACTTGTGGTGTTTTTTTGAATGTTTTTTGATGGTAAATGGATGTAAATGGTCATATGTTCTTTTCAGTGGTTTGGGAAACAATGGCACAATCCCCAAAAGGTTGATTAAATGGACTAAACACATATTAAAAACACACATCTTGGGGATTCTTGGGGTGTGTCCCATCTAGACTCTGAAACCACTATATTTTCTTTGCATGGATAGTTCGGGCATGCGAATCCATGAGGCTCCTTGTTTCTTTTCATTTTTTGGTAGACGTGCGCTGAATGATGGGATAGTAAACTTGTTGAGTCTTCATAAGCTAGCTGCTAGCTGCTAAGCAGAATCTTGGAACATGCAAGTGGCCCCCCCATACCATCCCATACCCCATGAATGCGGTTTGTGCAAACGCCGTGCCCTTCATCCAAAGATCCTCAAACAACCGTTTCCTTTCGGAAATGGATGTATCTGATCTTCACAAGGCCAAACAAGCAAACCAAACAACCAAACAAGAAGTGAATGTCTTTGGAGCATCTCTTACTTTCGACCTGTGGATTAAGTCGCTTTCAACTCTTACAACGGATCAGGCAGCTGTTCCTGACCCGTCCGTTTCCGAGGTCAGCAGGGTAACCTCTTTTCCACCTGCTGGAGGGTCAGTGGGGAAACCGTTTTCACCCAAGGGTTTGCAGGTGATCCACGTTCTGCATAGGAGTCCGAAGCTGTGACGCTGTGACTTGCGGAAAATGCAAATGACCTCATGCAAAAGATGAGCCGTGACTCACAGGGAGCGTGCATCGTCGGGCAGCCATGTATTCCACGACTTGGGACGATGGTCGTCCATGTGCCTTCCGAGATGTGCTTTCCGCGAAGCCAAGCTTCAATCAGGACGGCGTGGTGCTTCTTCAGCACCACATTCTCCTGGGCGTGGTGCGGCTGAAAAAGGCCGGGACACGTCCCTGCCGACAGACCCACTAAGCCGAGCGGCGGCAGCCTAGCTTAGCGTTCCCTTTTGGCCCTGGAGTATGCTTACTGGCACGCCAAAAATACGCTGTGTGCTGCCCATTGGTTGAAGGATTGCGCCACTGCGGCTCTTTCTCCGAATGTGTTATTTGGCGTTCTCCAACCCTGTGGACCTTTTTTTGGACAGTTCCCTCATCACACACGCCTGCTCACCTTCTGACTGGGCGGCCTGGTGCCAAGGGTTCTCAACAAAGCATGACTTGACCCTTTAGATCAAGCCTATATCTAAAAACGCTGCCCAAAACTTGGGGCCATGTTTTCTAGTACCCAAAACACTCCATGTATGGCACATATGCCTACAATGACCCCAGGTCAACCACCCCCACTGATCGGCAAATCCAAGGTACAGCCTTGATATCGCGATGAACTAACTGGAGGGAATGGACATGCGCCAGGGCTGAAAACCTGGGCTCCATGGCATTGGTCGCACGTGGTGCGCTGCGACTCGTGGCCGAAAGGACTCTGCGTCGCGCTGCCGGTGTGAACTGTTTGAGTTGAAGATACTCACTCTTGATTTATATCACACAGCCCAATATGAGAAGGTTGTTCAATGCATATAGGATTTAAGTTACTATTTATTACCAAGAGTCTACTGGCTCGGTCGCGACCATGACCCCTGTGTTGGGTCTTCTGGACTCGGACTGATGGAGCATTTCATGACCACGTACCGCTATAATATATAGCCATTTTTTGCTTGGAACACATGTGTTTCCACATCTTTCTTCGACCTTCGAGTGGCAAGCCAAAAAGGATATCCATCACTTGAAGTTGCGAGATGTAGTTGTCCTCAGCTGCAGCACGTCGCCCCAGATCCAGGGATTGGATGTGGAAGGATGTGGAAGCTCGTTTTGAGATGCTCATGTTCCACCATGTTCCACCCGAGCCTGCTTGAGGCTCTGCTGGGTCCCAAACAAAAGCACACGCACAAGGATTTTGTAGATCAAGAGGGCATTGACTGGACAATATCCTTATCCAGAATTCAACTCGAAAGCTCCCAACTCTGGCAAACTTATGGAATCTTTGCCATCACTAGCTGGACAGTCTCACTAGTCCCTGACAGACCCAAGCATCTTAAAGGGTTGAGGCGAGGGTTGGACCCAAACACCAAACCAGCTCGATTGATCAGAGGGACAGTTACTTGGATTTTCTTAGCCCAAGTACATCAGAAGGCAATTCACCCAAATGAGGAAAACGCCTCAACCAAGCCATGATTAAAACTGGTGCATTGGTCTGCGGCTGCGCGGCTCTGATCAAGTCAAAGAGATCTCCACCGGTACAGTGCTCCAAGGCCAGTAGCCAAATCACCTCGCAACGCCCGAACGGCGGAACACCACAAGGGCGAGCTCGGGCCCGCGGCCGAGTCCAGGGCCCGAGAAGGCCCTGCGGGCCCTGGCCCTTGCCAGGAGCCCCTGGTAGCTTCTTGTTCCTAGTAGCTACTTGCTCCTAGTAGTACGGCCAGGAGCCCCTAGTAGCGTCCTCGAGAGTTCGGGGACTTCGATCGGGCACGGAACACTACCGCAGCTGCGGCCGCGGCATTCTCCGCCGAGCCACTGCGGTCTTCCGCCGTGGGCCTTCGCAATACAAACCTGGCGAAGGCGTGCCCCCGGGCATGGCGGAGGGTAGCGCGGAGTGGCGCGAAGCTGTTGATGGGGGGGTGGCCTGTCGTCATATGTGCCCCAAACTGGTGCGTGTGTGTGTGTGTGTGACCTTTTGGTCTTTTCTTCTTACTTGATTCCGTTTGATCTTTAGCAGGGGGCACCGGGGCTAACAAACACGCTCATCAGTCACCTGTGATACAGTTGGAGACGTCCAACTGCGTACCTGCAGAGTTCTGACTTTCATTTCCTACTTGGTACCGTTCTTAACTAGAACTGTCTGGCCTTTGCAGCCGTCCTTTCACGGCATGTTTTGGGGTCTTCGCCGCTTTCGGACTTGATGATCTTTATGGAGCCCCGTTGGGAGTTTGGAGGTCTGTGGAGGCTCTCGTGGTCAGAGCGCTTTACAAATACCTTACCCCAGGTATCATTAGGCATTCATACCTAGGTGGGATTAGGTGAACGTGTGGCATGAGGCATTCAATTCCATGCGCATTTCCCGAGTGTGTCTGGTGTTGTGGCAGCCCAGAGTGAGCCCGAAGAGTGCCCTCGGCCCTCCGTGGCCTTGCTATGCAAGGGTTTGTCTCCTTCCCTACTCAAGGGAGCCATGATCGTAGGTGATATGGGTGATGACCCTTTCATTGATCCATTGGATATAGGCTATAGGCTATAGGATTAAATTGATTAAACATGGTTTGCCTATTCCCCCAGTTCTAATGGTAGTAGGAGAGCACCAAGCCTTTTTGCGCTTTGCAAGTCAACATCGGTTGCATACTTGTCCTGGGTAGGCATGGTCACAACATGTCATAATGGCAGGGTGTCCACTCCTTTCTTCGCAGCAATCTCCCGATCGGCGCCTAGTAGGGAGCAAATGTTTGGGTGGCCCGCTGCTGCTTGCAGCGCATAGACCTCCTGTCCTTGGTTGCAGCGCATGTAGCTGCTAGTCTGGCCTTGAAACAGCCCAAGTCATCGAACATTTATTGACATTAGTGACCAATCAATTGGACAACATGCAGCATGTAGAAAACAATCGCTTCATCACTATCCCTGCAGTTAGCATCTTGAAGTAGCCCTGTCATCGAAACCAAGCCGCAATCCATTACGGCGGCCATGTCGAGAAGGAACAGCTCAGAACACCGTTCTAGAGATGAAAGACGAAAGAGGTAAACGCACAGTATCAAACAGTGCTTAACTGTGTGGAGACCTCCAAACACAATCGAACTGTTTAACCTCGCAGGTTAGCCTCGACCTGGTGAGACTTCGACCTCACCCAGTCGGTCACCGTGACCTCTTCCCGCTCCAACACGCCAGTCACCGTGACGCAGTGGACACCGCACCAAGAAGAGGGCGTCCTTAAGAGGTCGTAGACACCCTCAAGATCCCTCAAGTCGTCTTCAGTCCAAGGATCGAATCATGCTCATGGGTGGTTTGTTCCAGATCTTCACAGCAACTCGCCCGAAGTTGTGAACTTTTTGCATGTTGATGACCTGTCGATTCTCGCGGCGACGCAGGCTCCAGTGAGTTCGGTCGAAGGCTCCGGCTGGGCTGGGCTGGGCTGTGGTGGTTGATACAGGAGCCCCTAACCTTCAAAGACCATGTTAAAATGGGAACGACCTGCAGCCCAAAATCCTTAGAAAAGAAAAGGGTTGCTCGGTAAAGACCATTAAAACAATGGTCCTTGGGCATTGACCCAGGATCTGAGGAGGGCATTCCTGAATCTGAATATCACGTCTTTCTGGGAATTTGCGTCCAACATATCCACTCAAGCATCATCTCTTGAAAAAAGCCTGGTCCAAGCCCGCACCTGATCAAGAAAAAACTTGAGAATTGACTGGTGGAAGACCATTTCCCTCTACAACCGAGCGGTTTTGGGGTTCGACTTGGGGCTCCCAACGGCAGCTTTTGTAGAGTTGGGGGAACAGGGTCCAAACCTCTGGCGCCCAGCTCGCTTCTGACCACCAGCTAATAGCACTCCTTCGGCCAAGTGACCTAGGACGAGGTGACTTCTCCGCCGTCTCAGCCCTCCTCCGCACGCGGCCGTGCGTTTTTGACCCCCTGAGCGTCCGGGCATCTCGCTTCTCAGGAAGGAGCCGCTGGCGGGAATCATAGAGCGGGAGCAAAGACACGCCGCCTGATGAGACGATGCTTTGCATAAATCACGAGGGGTAACATGGGGTAGTAGAATGTAGTAGACCCCTCCCGTCTTGCGTGTGAGTTGGTTATAGATGATGTTTGATGCGGTCTTTGGGAGCAGGAGTGCTGTTGAACTGCTCTTGGTCATTTTCGAAAAACCCTTGGTCCCGAGGTTTCCCGGCACCTTTGTAAGAACAGTTCCTTTTTCAAGTTTTTTTAAGGATCCATGGCCAATGGCACTCTTGCTGCGGAAGCCCGACGGTCGACCTGCTACCCGTTTGGGAGTCTTTCAAGGCGACCTGCGTCATAGCCCTCCGCCGTGTAATATCTTTTTCGTTTGAAACTGGATCAACATGATCAAGGACACTTGGAAATCTGAACATTCTGCACTTGAGGGTGTCCCATATACATTATGTATATTGGTTATTATATCACAATACATCACTATTCTTGAAAAAGGCCTTTATACTTATCATCATCATCCACTGGGCCCTGGTATATATCATTGGCCCAATTGGATGGAAGGGGTCTCTACTGTAGACTTTGGAAGAATAACCCCCAAAAAACATGGATGGTGAAACCGCATGGGGTGGTTTATTCATCAAGAGCGATATATACAAATATTGTAGACTCTTGATTACTAAACCATCTCATTTGGATTAATAGTCCTCTTCATGTGGGGGCATTATCAATCAAGAGTCTACATTATAATGGATTGACGCGTAAATGGCATGTCTGGGCCCAAGTTTGGTGGTTTAGCAGTGGACTCCAACCTATGTCAAGCTTCTGGGGGTGCCACTGCACACTCACTGAAACTGAAATCTCTATCCTTCACAAACTTTCTCTTGGGCGCTATCCTTCACTTTCACTCCCTCCTAAGCGCTATCCTTCACATCTTCAAACAGCTTGTTTTAAGATGTTTCAAGTGGAAAGACCAGGTTATTTATTGAAGAAACATCAGTGCGAAAGCTTAGCTTTGGAAGGAGTCCCGCGGACCTCGCCGAGGTCGGTCGCGTTTTCCCCGGTCGGTCATGATGAACAGAACCATGAAAATCCAAGAGACGGACGAACACATTCAGTAGGCCTGGACTCACAATACTCACACCACCTAGCTTGCTGAGTGGCCGACCTTGTCTTCTGTCCCAGCAATGCACGCATCAGCAAAGCAATAGTTTGGACTTGCGACTTTCTGAACAATTTTATAACAAAAACACACACACACACAACAAACACACTTGCTATTGGCCAACAAGCAGCCCCATCTCCCGACCTCTTCTTTCATACTTTGTTGAGTACTTCAACACAATCAATAAAAACCCCCTCGATACATCCGCCTCCACCTCCCATGGCCAAGGTGCTAAAAACTGAGCCGTGTGCTCCCTGACCACAGCACTTGGCGGAGAAGTGACAGCAGTCCTGCGACGGCCCCGAGACGCAGCCCTCGCACCAGGTCCGACAGCATGCGCGGACGCGGCGGAATCGATGCCACCCCTTTGAACTGGTGGGTGGGAGCAAGGAGCGCTACGTTCGGGGCTCCTGGCCGTACTACTAGGCGCGATCGGACGCTACTTGATTGCAGATGGCGCATCTGTTCAACAGGTGGTGTCTGGGTGATTCATCATGTCAGCTCCGAAAGTTTCCGCCTATACCAAAGAGTCGGGTGTCGCACCATGAAAAGAACACCCCGAGGCTGGGAGTTCAAGCAATCTATCAGCACATGTTGCAATATGACCAAAACTGTACTGTACCTGCCATACCTTTTTCTTTGGCCAGATCTGTGCGTGAAACCCCCAGAACTCAAAGTTTATCCCACTTTGGGTAGTGATCGAGTTTCTGAGCATAACAATTCCCAGGTCAACAACTCAATTTGAGTCTTCAACGGATTCAAAAAAAACACGTGCACGCACCACCTAGCGCAACACTGTCTGAAATGGACAATGCCTGACCTCTTGGACTTCAAAAATGCAGGGATCAGCCAGGTCGGTTCTCCCACGTTTCCTCCAGTGAAACCCTGGAAGCGAAGCTCTAGAGCTTCACCGGCTTGTCACCTGATCTATTCATCTGAGTGGGGTTTCCCCAAGCTCTTGGTAATATCAGGTGATCCACGTTTCCGTAGGGGAAATCACACCAGACGCTACTTACTTGGTCTTCTTGCCAAACTCGCGCCGACGATGCACCTCCACCGAATTGTGGTCTGCTCCCCTGGGCCTTGAGAAAAGGACTCCCAACTTCACCTCTCAGGAAAACCACCTTTTCACTGAACCATATAACTTGGATTTGTTTAATTGGGGACAAATACGATCAAAATTGTCCCCGGAAGGGGATTCACCCTTCAGGAAAATTAAACATATCACCCTGAGCAAGACCAGGAGAAGCATTCCACCTCAAACCCAGCTACCAGCAATGTCTCGGCTACGCCTTGATGTCCCAGCGGATGGCTCCGCGCCTGCGAGGGACGGTTGGACGGAACAGCGGAGCCTCCCCAAAGGCATCACCAATCACTCATGGTATCCGCATGAATGGTCCATTCTGGTCCATGTCTCTTTGAAGCTATCTTCGGATGTTATCGGGGGTTGTGTTGAAACATTTTAAACATTGGACTGTAAGTGTTGATCTCAGGTGATTGAGAGATCCTGAGGTGAACCTCAAGCATCCGTAGCCGAACATGAGCAAAACTTAAGTGTTAACCATTTTGACTTGATGCATGGACACATGGGACATTCCATTGAAGTTTAAACAACCATAGGATGCCATAGCTCATAGGGGTGATGGGTGTCATGCCAAACACTTCCTTGGAAGTTCTACCCACAGTATCCTGAAAACACCCCAAGGCAAGTATATATATACTAGCGTAGCTACAGATAGAATATGCGAAAATAATTAGTATGCACATAGAATATTTTCAGCATCATAAAAACTAATTCCTGAATCACTAACATCCGTGCAGATAGAATATAATTGATGTTCATAATGTGTATGTTTTGTGCATGAGTCTTGTTGTAGATTTCACAATACAGAAATCATATGATAACAATTGTGTCATTGCATGTCATTGTTAGAACACAGCCAGCATTGCTGACTCAAACACACAGAGAACATATCAGTATATATTATGTAATCTAATATGTGGCCAGCAATGCTGGCCTTCAACCCTCCCTCCCCTCCCCTCCCTCCCTCGATCCCTCCCTCTCTCTCTCTGCAAATATATTCTATCTGCATCAAAATTATTGGTTTTGAAAAGGCAATTCAACAGAAACCCAGACTTTCATCTCAGCACACGTCTTTTTCTCCCCCACATGCATGTTACTCGGTGCAAGACTTCAGACACAAGGATCTTCGCGCTATCTTCCTAAGGCTTGTGCTTTGGTTCAGCTGCAATTGCTTCCTGTACCCTGACCAACTGTTTCTTGGCAAGGCGGTCCTTCTCGTGAGCAGCAACATGATCTAGAAGCATCAGCTCAAGTACCCTCAACAAAGCCTGTTTTGGACTTCGCCCAGAGGATTTTGCAAATGTTCTCCCATGGCGTGTACCACCAGAGGCAGATGCCCTCCAAACCATAGCTTCCAAGTGTATGCCCACCGTGCAGCCATTTGGCCTTTCAACTAGACCAAGTTTCGCAAGTTCCTGAAACTCAGGTCGCTCTTCGGACATTCTTGTTCGAGTAACTTTCTCACACGTGACAGTGGCTGATGTTTCATCCTCATCACTCTCACTGTCCACAAACATCCAGCCATTGTGAATGGCTGGGTCGAGGTCCTCGTCCGAGTCCGGGGACGCTTCATTCATCATCGCAACCGCACTCGGATCATCGAATTCATTGAATTCCTTGTGGGTGTCTTCGCCTTCATCGTGTAGCTCATGGTCTTCCATCGCCGCTGCATCAGCCAAAGATAGATCACCTGCCAAAAAGAAAAACATCAAAGACTAGCAGATAGAATATATATATATATAAAATGTATGAAACAAGAACCTTTTGCAAACACAATCATATAGACAATATGTGTATATGTATATACATATTTTAAACATTCAGTTCAACTGAAGAATGCACTGTACCCGCCTGCAAAATGATCAACTTCAGATGGTATTGGCATATCATGGATGATGTCCCCCCTCAAGAGCTTCAGCATCCATTTCTTGCCTGTACCCGCTTTGACCCACAAATCGGTAGGATCATCAGATGGATGTATGATCAAAGCCAGGCATGTTCTCTTCAGAGCAGCTTTGCTTTTTTTTCTCTGGATTCTTCACCACAGCTTGCTTTTGTTTGTCAAGCACCAGAACTCTTTCTGGCATACTCTTCCATGCCTCGTGAGCTTGCTTTGCTTTTGGTGCCAGCTCTAATTTGCCTTGATTCCTCCTAGTCTCCAATCGCTTGTTCCAAATGTCCTTTTCCCTTTTCCATGTTAGAATCACATTGTCTATGGGGAGCCTGAACCATGACGGTAATGGAATGGGAGTCGGATCACTCAATGAAGCATCTGCAATTGCCCAGAAAGTCACTGACTCCCCTTGCAAAGGACGATTGTCCTCTTCATCGTTCCCAGCAGCTTCTGGATCCTGGCAATGATGGTCAGGTACTTCATCAAGGCTGTAGAGCTTGGTCATTCCGGCCCTAGTCCTAGACATTGCAGTCTCAGCAGCATCAACGTCGTTGTTAAAGTGCCATGCTGCTATTTGCTCCATTGTTACCATTCCTCGAGAGATCCAGCTCCACATGATGATTTTCCCGCTCTCATAGTTCCCAAGCTGATTCAGAGCCCAGGCATCGCATTGAAGAGATCCCTCTTGTGTCAGCCTACAGCATACTAACTTGCAGATAGACTTTCTACATCAAACTCTCAAACCATATGCTATATATATATATATAGACTCAGAACAAATATAGATACAGATAATAACCAAAGGGATGCCAACTTTCAAACTCTTTATTGCCTAGTAGCTCGAATCGAAAGTTGCCGTCCACTGCAATTGAAATGTCGATAAGACTCTTTCTCAGTTGGGGATTGTCGCCCATACCCACACGCATCCGCATGGCAGATCGACGTAGCCCATGAAAGAAACCATGAAATCCATCATTTGGGCCACCGCATGCGCCCCATCCTGAACGTCAGCAGAAAGGAAAGATATAATGAGACTGCAGATAGAATATGAACTTTTTCCAACATAAATATATAAGCCGTTCATGCATATATATATATATATGCATGAATATGTATGAATGTTTCTTTCAGCAAACCCAAGCCTGCTGGTATGGCCACTTGATGAATACTTTCACCGTGTACTAGCACCACATTGTGATCTCTCTCAAACCGTTCACGGACCTTCTTGAATGTGGACGATGAATGCTGTGGTGCCTTATCCATTAGCACCAATGCTTTGGCTGAAGCAGTGAGTCCATGTTTCTTTCTCTTCCTTCTCAGCTCAATGGCCAAAAAGTCCAAATACTCGCACAATGTCTCAGCAGTCCACATATGCGAGGGTCCATGGTGCTTCGTTGAAATCTGAAGAACGTCTCTGAGCTCTCGGTTCATCTTGTCCACCACCTTTTCCGACCTTATTGCAAGGCAGCTGCACTTAGATCAACCGCATATATACATGTTACTATGTGTATATATATATGTGTGTTGTTAGCCAGCAATGCTGGCACGTGTGAGTTCAAAAATATTCTATCTGCACTCTTTTGTATGAAAATTAATAACGTTTGCTTTAGAAACATTATCTCTGCTTCCTGAGGTTGAGGCATGGCTCCAGGTGCCAAAGTAATCCACGCACGTTCAAGATCACCATCCCGCCATGACAATGTGGTACAGGTTCGAGGATTGCGCGAATAGTCCACTGGATTCATGCTTCCAGCTGCATTCAATGTCACATGTTGACACACACCCTTCTTAGGTTTCGAAGATCCAGCAGAACTGTGTTGAACACCCAGGTAGGCCTCCATCTGCTCTATGATTTTTTGAACTGACCTTTTGGAACATACCTGGTCAAAGAGCTGACCAAGCTGAGATTCATCCTTGTGTAGAACAGATCGAGGCGGCTCGTAGTGGACTGACCAAACTTGGTCGAAGTTTGCTACTAGACGTGGCTCAATGTGGTTCTCACTGGTCACCATGTCTACATATCTCCGTACAGCTTCCATGGCCGGGTGTGAGTATGAAAGGTGCTTTGATTGCTTCGCCACTGCGGAATTCTTCAAGCCCAGCCTCTTGCATAGTTTGCTAGCAGTGTACCTGATGCGGCTAATAACTAAAAATGCAAAAATTGTTGGCTTTGTTACCTTATCAACTTCTACCCACTTGCAAAAGTACCTCTATATATTTATACATATAACATATATATATATATACTTGCTCTCTCTCTCTATATGTATGCTCAGCATGTATTGAAATCTAGATGCTCAAAACATGAAACAGGAACAAATCAACATCAAGATGCCTTTGAGCTTCCAAAGTTGCTGACAGATTGATGTTCTGCAGCACATCTAGAATATCCTCAGAAGAATCTGCTTGTGATGTGCTCGATTCTCTTCTGCCATTGCAAGGCACAGCACCATTGCACGGCTGAAATTGATCACCAGATGCCTCTTGCTCTCTTAGTACTTTAAGAACATGCTCCCGAATCTCCCCAATGTGCTCATTCCACAACGCCGTCATGTACTTGATGACCTTCATGACAAAGTTCAAGCCAATTTCTTGCCCTGTGCACATTGCATCAACCAACATACTCTCAATTGCAAGCGCCAGTGGGTCCGGAATGCTATGCAATCCATCTTCCTTCTTGAACTTGCTGCCGTTCCACTTCTTGGCAGTGATCTTCAGAAGGTCTCGTAGTGAATTTGGAATTTCAGTGCACTGCTTTGCCATAGAAGGTGCCACAGTCACAAATGCATCCCATGAGTAGGTTTCTCTTTGCTTTTGCCACTTAGCAAAGCAACCTTGGTAACATTCCTTGCGCTTCAGGTTCTTGAGCATGTGTTTCTCTGCAAACTTAATCGCAGGATCTGCTTTGATGTCTTCATATTCCTGTCAAGGACCAAACTCATATTCTATCTGCACCCTCTCCCCAACTAATATATATATATACAGTTTCAAAAAATAGCTATATTCACTAGAAGCAATGTTTGAACAATAACTATATATATATAGTATATACATACTTTGAAAGAACCTAAGCACCTTGAGTAGCTGCATTTTCCGGTGAATGGTGAGGACACTTGACTTTCCATCCCTTGCAATCTTGGGAGCTTTTTTGGTGTACTTCCGTCTCTTTCTCCCGTGATCTTCATGCTCTTGGGTCAATGAGGCCCCTTTGCGGCAGGCATTTGATTGGCGAAGTCTTTCGAGGGTCTGCTTGCAATCATCCGTAGACAAGCCTTGTTGGCTGAGACCAGCAAGGTTAGAGACAGGAAGTAGGAAGTACATCCTCTGGGATGCGGGGATTGC